TTCAATATTAAGAGGTCTGCTGTTGTTTATGTTTTTAAAGTGATATACAACTAACACACCACATAACGTGCAGAACAAATGTGAATGAGTTTTTATAGACTCAAGGTGAAAAGCAGAGTGCAACACAATGAGAGCCATAAGATCTGTTCAAATTACACTGGGGGTGTTGCACAATAAAATTCAATCTTGTAGGATTTAGTTTTGGCTGTTTTCCTCCAAGCAACCTTCACTCTTCCAAGTATATACATATAAAAACATGCTGATGTGAGAAGGATCAGTGGATCAGACTGTCCCTGATTATCTTTGGCTGGTCAACCTCACTGCAAAATAAGGAGTCATTTTCAGACTCATCAGATAAACAGATGTCGACAAGCTGCTCCGTAAGTGAGAAGACCTTTTCTCAATTGAACGCCATTGAGGCACCATATGTACATTAAATCAAAATATGAAGTGAATGATGAATTCATTAAAAGCAAAACTGCTACGCTCTAAAACTCCAGCGCACACCAACAAGATGGGAGGAAAGGAAGGATACGGAGTTCGATTTAGGTCTTAAATTTGACTTTATGCTTAGAGGGGTTTTTCTTTTTAATTTTGTAAAAAATTACAAACAATGTTTTAGTTAGGTTGTTTTGAAGTGGCAGGTGTATAAGTCTTCAGGCATGGACTCCATTTTTGTCCTGTCTGTCTTTAAAAAAACATGCTCAATGAAAATAAAGCTTCCTATAAGCCCTTCTGATCAACCCAACCTACTTTTATAGCACAATTAAACAGTGCCATGAGTCTTTTAAAGTTCCAGGTTTGGACCACAATGTTGGCTCAACCCAGAGAGCATTTTTTTTTTTTTTTTTTTTTTATAAATAACTCTTAGAAATCTCTTAAAGGTTTGATTTACAGGAACATGAAATTAAGTTATACTTTTATTGATAGATATTGAAGTGTTATAGAACTACATCCTTTTCACTGCTTTGTGTCCACATGTTCTATTTATATCCTTAACGTTGATGTCCAGGTTATTACTCCGTTGGTTTTCCTTTGTCTATGTTTATCCAAAACAAAGAAGCGACGCATGAACCTGTGTGTTTATTTTCCGTGGGGCTGCAGAGGTGTGCAGCGGTGTCACGTTGCAGCAGAACGCTAATTGGAGTGGCCTCATTTAGCAACGCGTCAAGGAAAAAAAATGGAGAAGCGTCAGGACGACACCGTGTCAGCGCCTCCACAAATCTCCTGCGCGCTCTCAACTTTAATGGCGTGTCAGACATCACAAGTAATGCGAGGGGGGTCATCGTGAGCCTATGCTTCACTATAACGAACCCCCTCTTTTCCGCGGCTCCAAACCCCCCTGGCACCGCGGTTGGAAAGCGGAGATTAATGTCCCAATCCGTGACGTAGTTAAATAAAATAAGTTAATTGATAAAAATACAAAAAAAGGCAACTATTGCTATATAGTTTAGCACTAAAACGCAAATGACAAAATACCTAATATAGTATATTTAATTGTTTCTTATTAATACAGCAAAACTCAATCTAACAAAGATAAATAAATAAAAAACGTATTGCACGAGTGAAATGTTTACAACAAACTAACGCTTTGTATTGTTTGTAAATTAGTCAATCGGTAGCTAATTGGTATGTAATGTGCAAGAAAAATTTAATTTTGACATATCAACTTATTGCAGGATAAAATATGATCACAAACATGTTGGAAAAAAAGATTAAGATTCGATAACATTTTGGTATATTTATCAAGATTTATCAAAAATTAAAGCACAATTATATTTCCACCTTTTATTTGTTGTTATCCACCGAAGTACAAAACTTCTGTTGTTGTTTTTACCAGTGCTGCAAATATTTCATGCCTTCACTCTGCTCTAAAGAAGAACCCTGCATGCAGAAAGTTTAAAGCATCCAAACTTTTGATGTTTTCCTCTTTGTTATATGGTGAATAACGGTAATTTAAACAGACAATGGAATGTTGCAAAAAAAAAAATTGAAAGCATTGCTTTTAAAGGTAAAGTATCAGTTGGTCGTACATACGGTAGTAATAGTTAAGCATAAGTATATCAATTTTGATTTTAGAGATGTATTTAAAAGCTAACGTCAATTCTAATATGTTAAAGTAAAATCAAAGATAAAATAATTGGTCGTCGACAATAAATTAATGTCAATATCTGGACATTATGCCACGTAAAAGCGTTTCATGCCAACATTATAACAAAGTAATGGTTTAACAAATGTCTGCACGCGAATGAAGTGCAGCGTGGCGCCCTTGATTTGAATGTGACCTTTTATTTAAAAGTAACGTAGCTGTTTATGTATAGGATTTTTTTTTTTTTTTTTTTTTGCAACCTTTCAAAGTCTACAAATCGTATTTCTTCACAAATACAAAAAAAACATACAAATACATTTGATTGCCAATGTTAAATTTGTCGATTATTTAATCAAGATGACTATATTTTTTATACTTAGATCAATAAATATTTCCACAAAAAGATGGAACTATTTGGGAAATTTAATGTTGTGCTTTAAAGATATCTACCAAAGCCATCACGCTTAAAATCAGAACCTAAAATGTTTCCTTTCCTTCTGAAACGTACCACGATAGCCTGCACATTTGCACCGACTCTTGTTTGTTGTCATATAGACAATTCCACCTCTAAATGTGTGAGCAGTAGCATTCTGATGCGCAGATAAGCCGCAGTCTGTGCCTTGCACGTCAGTAACACACACTTCAGGCTCGGTTTACTGGCCACAAGTGAAGTGCGGCTGATAAATATTCATGACGGTGGCGCTTATTGCGCCTTCTTCGATATCTGAAGCGGTTGTCATTTCCAGACTTGTGCGTAAATACATCTGAAGTGGATGTTTTGGGTTTCCCCCCTTACTATTTGAGCAGGTTGCCGTCAACACATCTTTTTACGAGCTTTTCGATTTCTTTGTAGTATGTGTGTGTTAGTTGGGTTATTGGGGGAGGTGGGCGGTTTGGGGGGTTAGTGCGTGTGTGTGAGATAGAATGTCTGTAGGTTCAAAGTGTAAAATAATGGTAAAGATTAAGCAACACGTTGAAACCCTGATCTCTTGTGTGGAGTCCAAATTGGCACGCAGAGCCATGGGCGTTGCCAGACACTGGTTTACTGGGGTTCATGCCCTTGTAAAACCCAGAATCAAGTATCCAATAAGAAGTTGCGAACTTTTAAAATAAACCGCCGAGAGATTAACTCGAACTGATTACAAGCAAGCACAAATGCATGGAAATACGGACGGATTTTTTTTTTCCGGGCTGTTTCTCATTAACTAATGTATAATAATAAATAAATAAATAAATTCACTGTAAACATTTAAAAACATTAAGAGCTGCTCCTGATCTGATCTCTGATCGTGCACTGGAAAAAATTGAAATCTAGATAAGTCATTTTTTCTTTACATAAGTGCATTTGTTCTTGAATTGAGGAGGTATAAAGTGACATTTTGCCAATTGAACAAGACAATTTACATTTAAAATAAGAAAAACACAATTGCATTGTCTTATTTCAAGTGCATATTATCTAATTGTCTTATTTTAAGAGTAAAAATGCTCCTTCCATTGGCAAACAATCTCATTTATCTACTTGAAATAAAGATAAATACACTTAATTTAAGACATTCTTACTTATTTCTAGATCGTTTTGCAGTGTGATAGCTGTAGGATAAACTGAAAGATATTACTGTTGGTTTTGAAGGAAAATAATATTTTTTAAGTAATAATGAGACAATGGGAAAAGTTGGAGGTGTCTATGCGTTCTATGTTACATAATCAGATTTACATGCTTTATTGAAGATTTTAAACACATAATGAAAAAAATCTGCTCTGCTCTATAGCTGCAAACAAAAACTGCACTCTCTAAAAGCAAGACAGGACTCTCTTTTTGACTAACCTCATTTTTTCTCCCCCATTACTTTGCATAATCTTGTTTTTACAAATTCTAAAGAACATCCTCACTATGATAATTTCACTAAGTTGCACAACGGAATGGTACCATGACTTAAAGTAAAGCAGTAGTAAATCATTAGGTCGCTAAAACTGTTTTGCAGCTGTACCACTTCATGTCAGAATATACATTTTACTTTGCGATTAATAGATAGGACCTGTTGGATAAATGTTACTGATAAGTAAATTATTTACATTAAAGCAACATTTCTGTTTCAACTCTATAAAAAGTGTACTGAAAACGTGTTTTTTGGGGGGAGTTGTTAATCCTAACTTTTTTCATGTGATATTGATAAAAAAAAAAAATCAATGAAGTAAATGTAGGCTACTCATAAGCACCTTACTATATTGCCTCGTGTTTCTATATTAGCTCTGTGTAATGTTTAGCATTGTTTGCTTCTATTTCACTTTGCTGGTGTACCTGTTTTTTCTCTGTGAAAAATAAAGTGCATTATATTCTTTCCTTTTTTTCCCCCAGATAGTGTCCAAATAGCATGTAAAAACTCCTCTCTAAATATGCTATTTGTTCTGCACACGTTGAAAAAAAGAAATCCCCCTAAAAACGACAACATTCGACACAATATGCAGCTATATGTAAAAAAAGAATAACATAATAAAAAAAAAAATCAGCCCACAGCTTCCCTTTTGATCTCGATTTAAAGGATAAATAAATGCATTTTGGCTGGATTTGTCGGTCATATTTTAATCAAAAAGAACGCGTCCACTTTAAACTATCTCAATTTTTTACCATTTGTTTGTTTTAATCCGTACAGCTGCTAACTTCCTCTGTCTGCAGAGTGCACATTTTCCCCCTGTCGCGGTGCGTCATTGGCGCATCTGCACTGGGACCAGATAGATAGATAGTGTTAAATAGAGTCGAAAAAAGCCATTTTGTTGCCACCCTTCATTTATCTCCACGCGTAATAGTCCGTGAAAAGAAAATATGAATACATTTCAATACATTTTCAACATAATCATCTGAGATGAAGCTTGCTATGTGGCTATATGTTGCAACTTCTTGTTTTTTTCATTGTTTTTTTTTAATATAAGGGTTGACATTTTTGTTCTTTTTTTCATTTCTGTTGCATGTATCTGCAGTCTGACAGATAGCGGCGGATCCGTGCACCCTGGCAGTGTTAACCATGATCAGTGGCGGCTGCTGATGTGATCTCTGCCTAATGGGGCGGTCAAGCAAGCTGAAGCCAGTAACAATGAAGTGTGTGTGGGTGAAGAAGGGGAGGGTGGAAAGGGGGGGTCCCACATTGACTCCCAGGCTTTCCTTCAATCTCTCTCTCTCTATCTTAATCTACGATAGGAAGTCCGACGAAAAAAAAACGCAAAAAGAAGAAAAAAAGAGAAAATAAATTAGATTTGAAAATTAGATTCCCGAACAATTAAGTAACACAAAATAGCTTACTCCGGTTTTATCCGCCGAGGAACAACAGCCGTGATTAATCGATTTAATTTGCGTATTACTGGAGGGCAGAGCGGTGGATGTTAATTTTGGATAAACAGAAGATCCAGGAGCAAGAGAAAGAGGGGGGAAGTGAATTTAGTAGTTATTATCGAGTGTCAGGAAAGTTCTCTCTCACACACACACACACACACACACACACTCATCACATTACACACATTCTCCTATCAACTCACACACACTTATAATGAAGAGTTCAACTTATTTCCCTTAGAATTCCTCCAAAGTAACTAAATTGGTATAAAAAAGAACTATTTTGGCCATAATTTTCCATATATTAAAAAAGAATCAACCTTCAATGAAATGCATTTTTTTGTATTTTTTACAGTCCTTTAATATAGTACGAAATGTATCCAAACATTTTTTCATTATTATTATTAATATTATTGTAAACTAAAATTTGACATACGAGCGCATTTCTCCATAAATACCGATCATTTCTAACATATTACCGGCCCTTGTACATGCGGATAAATGTGGAAAAACCCAGCTACTTTACATGGAATAATACTTCCTCTCAGACAGAGCAATTGACAGATTTTTTATATATATATTTAGCACGTACATGAACAGATTGACACGATTTTTTTTCACTACACGACTCATCGACATGACATTAAATAACAACAATGATACTCTGTGCTATTCAAACTGGACCTTAATTTGACGAAAAATTTATAAAAAAAAAGAAAAAAAAAAACAAATAAAAATATGCTGCACTGGATAGGCTACAAAAGCACATTAATACTAAGAGTCGGTTAGGTCGACGTGTAGACTGTGATAATACTGAATATTTCACATTTTGGTACACAACTAGAAACATTCTTTCCCCCACAGTAACCTTAGAGGCCATTTTCATGTCTTCATGACATTTTAACAAATTCCTCCTTAAAACTGTGATATTTACAAAATAAAATATTACATTTCATTTTTTTTTCTTTCTTGCTGTGTGCTCCAGTTCGGCAAAAATCCTTATTTACAAAAAAAAAAAAAAAAAAAAGAAAGAAAGAAAGAAAAGGAAAAATCAGGCCTCTACCCGCAGATAGCATGCTTTTTCTTTTGTGATCTGTTTCTGTGCAGCAGTCTCTCGGTAAAAGGAGGAGCTGTCCATGTTTCTGTCCATGCATCACGGCAGTCTTTAACTTCACCTCCCGTGCTTTTTTTTTCCTCCGTCCATCTTTCTGATTTTTGTTTAGAAAGGTCGAAGTTTTTTTTTCCTCTCCTCTTTTCATAAAATTTTCCATTGTCTTTTATGCGTTTTTCAAAAATATTTACACGTACCATTCATTGAAATTTGACGACAGCGTGCTGTGGCTGGCTGTGTGATGGACCGCTGAAGCTGCTGGTGATATGGAGCTGCTGCTCTGGTTCTCTGTGGACGGTGACACGATGGTGGGAGGTGTGGAGGACTCGTACCCTGAACTGGCCGCTGGGGAAGGCTGCGATCCTGGGTTTGTGGATTCGTGGACCTGCGGATATGAGAAAGAAGGGAAAATATTTGGTAGCCACTTGCCTTTTTTAGACAAAACAAACAAACAAACAAAAAACAAAAAAAGTAATAGGGTGCTGATTACTGCTGACGTGATTGGTTTGGACATCCGAAGAAATAGAAAACTCAATTAAGATCCTTATATGATTTTGCGCTTGAGAAAATATGAAAATAAAAACAAAATAAAAAATCAAACACTGAAACACACACACAAAATCTGAATTTAGAAAAAGAAAAACAAAACAAAATTGGCAAAAAAACAACAATCCTCAATAATATATACATCAAGTTTTTTTATATATAAAAATAAAGAAAATGGAATCCTACTATCACAAATATATAGAAAAACAATCAATTTATGGAGCTTTTGTTTTTACCTTCATGTGTTTTCGGAGGGAGCTGGGATGCGTGTAAGACTTGTCGCACATTTTGCACAGATATGGCTTGTCCGACGTGTGGACGTGCATGTGTTTCTTACGGTCGCTGCTGTTTGCAAACCTCCTGTCGCAGCCGTCGAACTCACACTTAAAAGGCTTCTCACCTAATGCAAGACATGAAATACGATTTCTTTAAAAACAAGCATGCATACATTTAGAGTAAAAATAAACACAATCGAAAACCTTGCTTTGTGCATGCACTGAAGGTAATTGCTTGCAATCTAGTAGTGTTAAAAATGTAAGTTTGATCATTTGAAACTCTTTTGCAGTGAACTATTTTCTGTGGAGGATCATATGCAGTCTCCAGCTGAGCATCTGTAGTAAATAACCTGATCGCATGCACTTTTTGTCAGCTGCGATTTGGCAGGAGATTCTGGCATTTCTTACCGGTGTGAGTCCTTTTGTGAATTTTTAGGTTTTCCGATCGTGCAAACACTTTGCCGCAGCCTGGGAACGGGCACGGAAAGGGCTTTTCTCCCGTGTGAACTCTGATGTGATTTACAAGTTTGTATTTGGCTTTGAAGGGCTTCCCCTCTCTGGAGCAGTCCTCCCAGAAGCAGACGTGGTTCGTCTGCTCGGGCCCCCCAACATGCTCCACCGTGAGGTGGGTCACCAACTCGTGCATGGTGCTGAAAGTTTTGTTACACGACTTTTTGGGGTTCGTCAGCTGCTCGGGTTCGATCCACTTGCAGATGAGCTCCTGTTTGATGGGTTGCCTCATGTAGCGGAAAAAGGCCCCGGCTCCGTGGTGCGCAGCCATATTCATGTTCATGGGGCCATATCCGTGCAGCTGGGTGGACGCGTAATGGTCGGAGCGCGGGCTTGTGACATGGCCATACTGATCGGCCCGGCCGTACACGTCCCCTGAGAAGCCCAGCCGCATCTGGCTGTTCACCACGTTGGAGGACGCGTGGCTCGCCGCCTGCTCGTGAAGTCCAGGGAAGAGCAGGTGCCCCGCCGCGTCCGAGTGTCCGTGCGGCCCCGCAAAGCTTCCAGAGGCGAACAGACTGTGCTGTGCCCCGGTCGCGTCCCCGAAGCCTCGATTTCTGAACAAAAAGTCCCTGGTGGAGTTAAACGCCGCCGTTGAGTAGGAACCAACGTGCGTCGGGTGGTGATGGTGTCCCAGGGCGGCCGCTGCCGCATATCCGGGAGCCTGTGATGAGAACGCCGCCTGCCCCGAGCCGATGTCGTGGGAGCTGTGGTTGATCTTGAAGGCGCCCATGCCATCCGCGAACGGGTTGATCCCAAGCGCCACTTCCCGCTCCGCCACCTCTCCTGTTGAGTGATGCCGAGAGGAGCCGAAAGTAGTGACTCCTATGGTGGGATACTGTGGTCCTGCGTCCAAGAGCATCTTCAGTCTTGACTCTTCGAGACGACTGAGCGCAGAACTCAATGAAAACACGCGCAGATATTCTTCCTCCTCCTCTCTCTCTGCGGTTTATCTCTTCTGAACTCGAATCCACCGAATTTTCTGTTTACTTTTTTTTTCTTTCACGACGCGAGGAATTCCCCTGTACAGCTCATCTGATGCACATTTAAAAACCACGTATTTACTACATGCAATATTGTCTTTTTGCGGTTTATCTTCCTGTGGCGCAACTTTCACCTCCTCAGTCAGGCAGTGAGCTCTAGACTGATAGTCGCAATCATTCCTGCAGATAAATGAATTGAAAAGACAACACAGTCCAGCCCTGATGAATGGGAGAGAAGAGGGGGCGGTCACGTGGGGTCTGCAGCTGCTCCTTCATTGGTTCTTCCCAATAACATGCACTCACCAAATAACAATCCACCGTGCTGGGGCCCGAACCTCAATGTCTCTTGACATCATCAGTCGCAGATATTTTCAGATTGCTGACTGGGAATTTAGTAAAACTGCTAAATAACAAAGAATAAAACAGATATCAGCTTAGAACATAAAGTCAATATAGGTCAGAATGTCCATGCCACGTTGTCTTTGTCAAACACATTGGGTAGAAAAAAAAATTGTAGCCTATTAGAGAAGATTGGAAACGTTTTGCTCAATTAAGCATTTTGCCTGGATCTGACGTCAGTCTGTCTATGTCCGTCCATTTATTAAAAATCATTATTGGATGCATTGATATGTCAGGTGGTGTTTTTTTCTCATGTAGACCCTTTTACAGTTTTGCAAGGTGACTGGATTTTTAATTTCATATATATATGTCACGACCACTTCCTTCTTTAGATTGGTTTGTTATTGAGTTACTGTATCACATGGAAGGAATCCGAATCTGAATATCTAGTATAGGCTACCTCTCTAAAGTGTGGGCCATCTGTGATTTAGGTTTGTAGGCTACCACTGTTTAACTTGGACCTATACCACAACCCTTAATGCTTACATCGTGGTTTGCCTGTTTGCGGTACAGCAACTTGCCCCCTTCTTCGCAGGCTACTGGTGCATGAAGTCTGTTGGGTTCTCGAAGTTATCAAGTGGGGTTTGTGGTGCCCTCTCTACAGGAGCCTCCGGATGCTGGAGTTCAAAGCCAAAAGAAATAGACCAGGCCATAACATTATGGATCAGTCGAGGTGGCCTCTAGATTCTGCACACTGGTTCCTCCAAATCAATCCTCATACCGAGGAGAAAGGATCAGGTTAAGATCAAGAAGAATTTAAGAATCCTTGAGGCTTCTTTAAAGCATATAATTGATGTATCTCACAGAATTTAACTTAATATATTCAGCAGACCATATGATGATAAAATATGCAAAGCAGAGTTGCAAATCACGAGCAACAAGTTAAGATAAATGTAGCATTGGGAGGCATACAAACTGACTTTTATGCAAAAATATATTAAAATGACTACCGGATTTAATTTAAATGTGTAATGCATGCTGTCTTATTAAATGTCCAATGATTACTTATGCGCACAAGTTATATGTCACCATGTTTATTGTCTCGGATTTACAGTAGATTTAAAGCCAACGCCATTTTTTATGAGACCTCGCTGTAATATGCGGTGTTTATGTTTATGATCCTGCACAGCTCTCCTGCCTACATGTCGCGAAGAGCGACTCAGTGAGTCACTGAGTGAGTGCATGCACAACTTGGGCCAGAAATAGCCCCTTTCCGACCAAGTTTTTCATTACACTGCTCGCTGCTGCTGCAATGCCCCTCTCTAAATGTGCAGCTGTGAGTCCGTCGCGCTCAAAGGCCTTTTAATAGACGTCTTTGGGATTCGGAACGTCTCCAAATATTGACTTATGATCTAAGGCGATGCTGTCAGTGTAGACAAATCAATTTGTGGGGCTTCTAAAACAAAACACAATAATGGCATTAGTGATCATCTGCAAGCCCAATATTTGAAATCAGTGTTACACCACTAGCCTTTCTTTTTTTCATTTCACCGAAATAAGCACATTGAGACTTCTTAAAATACCACCTTGCCTTAATCCGCTGGAGCTTTTTCCCCCCCTGCAAACATAACTATGATTTCAATTCAATGCATGTTATTATGATTATTTTTATCATCATTGTTACTGATCTCAAGGCACACATTTCCGCCTAAAGAGTACATCAAAGCCACCCGTTCTGTAGGCCAATACTCAAATTTCTAATCGCATTCATGTGAGTAATCGACTCAATTTTAAGGCGCACAATATATAATGTAAAATGTCATAAACGTAAAGTTTTAAGAAAATGTGAGATTTGGAAAACGTTTAAAAATGGTAAGGTGTCTTGATTTCAATAAAGACTTTCCAAATACCACTATCAGAGAACAACACTGTTGCACAATTTGGGATATTTTACTTTTTGTTAAAGAACACATTTACATAACAACAAAGAATTTTGCAAATATAGCTCCAAAAACACTAGATCTACTATCTTAATGCATTTTGTCTTTGTTTGCGTAATTATGACCATAATATATATTTTCTTCTATTTTTGTGGTACTTACACTCATTTTATTTTGGAACTACAGTCTTTGACGGAACTACCTGTAACACTCATTTGCTGCCTTCCTTAGGTCTTATACAAAAAAAAGAAAGAAAAAAAAGAGAAAAGAAAGAAAGAAAGGAAAGGAAAGGAAAAAAGGGGAATCATAACGTATCCCGTCTATTATATTTTTTACCCTCTTCGAAAAACTGGCCCCTGGTAACCCGCCTTCAATTGCTGAACACACATAGATATACAAACACACAGATCCAGATCTCCGGGGGCTGCTGGGACTGTCAACCCTGCTGCATGCGCTGTAGGTTAGGGGCGGTTGCATATTCTAATAAATAACTTCCTCCAAAGCGCTTATTTACTATATATTTACGTTGCTTTAAATGAAAACTTGACATGCGGCGCGATTCGTTGCACCCCATACTCCCCACCCCCCACTAAAAGCGATCTTTTTATGTGTGTAAAGTTGTGCGTAATTTGCCAGTAAAGTTGGGGGCTGCACACGTTGCGGTGCAAAATGAGGACATCACTGCATTATTTATGATCGACAGAACTTGTATACATTCTTTCAAGTAACCGCTGAAAGAAATTAAGAGAACGGCTGCCACTTTTTTTTTTTTACTGCGTGAATATAAAAAAGGCGACGGTATATCCGTATGAAATTTTCGATAGTTATATTCTATCATAACCTTTGCATAACTATTTTTCGCAAGCCTTGCCTTCCGGCTTCGCGCATGCGTACTGGACGCGCGCTGTCACCGAGACATTTTTCATCACGCTGGAAACTGTCACCGGTGACGTCAATCACAGAACTCTGACCAATTAGAGAGCGGGATGATTGTTTAGCTCCACGGGCTCCAGCGCCTACCATGAATCTCTATTCAGTATCAAAGCGTCCTGCTGCTGCCTCTCAACCGAATGGGATTCCATGTTGTCTGCAGATAGACTTAACTTTATAAAGTTTTTTTTATTTCTTTTTTTTTCATTGCGATTAAAATATATTTGCCATCATCATTATTATTTTGCCTGCTGTCAAGTTATTCTAAAATTAGGAAGTAATGAGCGTGGATGCTTTGGGAAGCCCCGTGATGGACCCTGCGTTTTCCAAACGGAACACGGCGCTGAGATTAGTTGACTTGGCAGGGGCTCACCACCATCACCATCATCACCACCATACCCCTCAGAGCGTGACAGGCTTCCCGGGGTTCGGCAGCCATCCACACTCAATGGCTCACTCGCACCCTGGGGAGATTACTGCGGAACCCCGCCTGGGGCCGAGTCCATTCGGGCCAGAACACATGGGGCACTCCGCGGCCCTCAAAATCAGCCCAGCCCATCATTATCCCCACCACCATCACCACCACCACAATCATCATATGGCAGGCCACAGTGAAGTGGTCTCCAGTCAAACGGGAGCTTTTGGCCCGATTCAGCCGACGTCGGTCCCCTATCCTATGCCCCACACAGCCCAGGCTCTATCCGCAGGTAGGGATTTCCTCATCCGGAGAGATCTGACGGCTCAAACCATGCCCGTACTGACTGAACAGACAGCTGGTTCAGCCTCTCACCACGGAATGTTTGTCTCAACAACAGGTAGCTATCCCGGACACTATGGTCAGCACCCTGACGCAGGGAACCACACCACCCTCTTCTCCGGACTCCACCACGAGCAATCTTCCAGCGGATCACCGGGTGGCCAGGCGCTGAATGGACAAATAAGGTTAGGACTACCTGGAGAAATGTACGTTCGGTCTGATCACTTGAGTCAAGTAGCAAGCTCCAGGGCTGATCCCTTCTCCGCCTCGCCTCTGCACGGCTACGGCGGTCTGAATCTAAACATGAATCTCGGCGCTCACCACCACCATCCCCATCACCCCCACCACCACCACCACCACGGAGGACCCGGGGCTTTTTTCCGCTACATGAGGCAGCCGATAAAGCAAGAGCTGATTTGCAAATGGCTGGAGCCGGAGCACTCTCCCAAGAAACTCTGCTCCAAAACTTACAGCACAATGCACGAACTCGTTACGCATGTGACGGTGGAGCACGTCGGAGGACCGGAGCAGGCAAACCACATATGCTTTTGGGAAGAGTGTCCCAGGGAAGGCAAGCCCTTTAAGGCGAAGTACAAGCTGGTGAATCACATTCGAGTGCACACAGGGGAGAAACCATTTCCATGCCCCTTCCCTGGCTGCGGGAAAGTGTTTGCAAGATCCGAAAATTTAAAAATCCATAAAAGGACGCACACTGGTGAGTGTCAGATTTTTATACAAATACATGCATTGGAGAAATATCAGCTGCATGAAAAAAATCGTAATTATTGTTATTATTTTATTTTTACTTTTTTTGCAGTAGACTTTTTGAAACTTTTTTTTCTCGGTTCTACTGTTTCGAATATGCAGCAATAACCCACACGCAACAGACACCTTCTATAATAGTGTGCTACAAGTTACTTAAAGGTTGGCTGTGAAAGAGGAGGATTATGGTACAGCTCACTCATGCGTTTGACGGTTCAAACCTCTTGTTTACACAAAAAAGACAGAGACCCACGTCACGTCTTATCTAAGAAGCTCAGTGCATGCCAAACCATGTCTGGATGAAAAAAAAAACTGTGAGAGTATTGCATCTTCCACATTTACTCATGCTTTCTTATAATTATCTTTATTGATATTCCACCTATTTTGAATAGACGTTTTTAAATTACACGATGGATTTTGAGTGCTTTTGGTTTTGCATGCAGGTTTATTTATGCATGTGATGAGTCCTTTCCAAACGTCAATTTGTAGAACAGCTTCTCAGTGAGGAAAGCTGATTTTGAATAGTTTTAATGCAACAGGTTGCCAGCACCAGGTTAGAGCGTTTTACTTTATCTGCAGTATGAATGCTAACTTATATGCAGTGCAAACTTAACAGTAAAAGAAAATGAACTGATTGATCAATATGGCTGCATGCTTCAGTGAGCTAGAAGGAAAATAAAGGCCTCAAAATGTCGAGTCAGACTTGTAAATGATTACAGTGAATACCCCCCCCCCAACATATACACATACACACACAGCACCCCTCCTTCTTCTTCTACATTCCTGCCCCCCCATGTATTATTCATATCATTTGCTCACATTACCTAAATACAAATCTGTTAAATTATTTCTGTGTTTTGACTCCCGAGGGGCCTGGTCTTTTTGGTATCATGTTTAAAACCCAAGCCGAAAGTGTGGTTATGACTAGGGTCTGCCCCTGGGGTCTGTTTCCTCCAACGGTTTCTTGTACTACACTAATATCCTTGATTGGCTCTCTCAACCCAACAGCTGAAGGTCAAATTGATATTCAACCCGCAAGTGTAATTAGACAGAGGCAATTACATATTCTCAAAAGCTTTAATCGGAGGAGGAGAAGGAGAGAGAAAAAAAAAAATCAGCAGTGGATGATTTCCGTCTAATTTATTCAGATTGTCTTTTTTTCCCCCCACATCTTTCTCCCTCATATTTAATCAGAAATACTTAATAATAAAAAGTGAATTTAGATTCAGTCCGCATTTGAGTGGCTCGAAAAGAAGCTGACAGGTTGGGTTACTAATGAATATGCTAAAGACATTCTGTTGTTCCTAGTATTTATCAGCGTTTTCAGTCACTTTTTTTGAGCACCCCCCACCACCACCACCACCTCCCTGTCCCATAGACCCACATTCACCAGTTGCATTGCATGCATTGGAAACTGTATTCTGCAGCAACATAAACATTGTTTATTCGAATGAATGCAAACATTAAACACGCGTGGAACATGGTGCAACATAACATTTATTCCTTGGTATCAAAAATGCTTTAATTCAAAGCAAAACTCGCATAAGGTATTAACTTATATTTAAAAATGCGATTAGTCTGTTTGCACTAAAAGAAATGGGGAAAAAAAGAAAGGGAAATCTAACCAGTTGTAAGTGGGAGACTTAAAAAAAGACATAAAATCATGAACTTTGTAAAGATGAAAATTCACCTCATGACAATAAGAATAAAAAAAACTCTTTCATAATTGTATAGTCAAGTAAAAACAAAGAAACGAAACAAAAAAAAGTTAAATATTTAGATTTCTATACAGCTTTTATAGTTAGTCATATAATGCCGACTGATGGAAAGTTACAGTCAGTGATCTTTGCAGCGATCCTTCTTTCTGTGCAAGCAGTTTAATCCGTTTATTTAGAAATTATTTATTATGTGTTTTAAGGGAAAAAAATATTACATTTATCATGTGTATTAACTAAATTTAATTCTATCTCCTTGGCTGTCAACAGGTGAGAAACCCTTCAAGTGTGAGTTCGACGGGTGCGACCGACGTTTCGCCAATAGTAGTGACCGGAAGAAGCACTCCCACGTGCACACCAGCGACAAGCCCTACAACTGCAAAGTTCGGGGCTGCGATAAGTCCTACACGCACCCCAGCTCCTTGCGGAAGCACATGAAGGTGCACTGCAAGTCCCCCCCGCCCAGCTCTGGCTATGAGTCGTCAACTCCATCTCTGGTGTCACCTTCTTCGGACTTGGGGCGGGAGCCATCCGGGGGCCCTTCGGTGTTGTCGGAGCCGCCGGCGGGGGCCTCTCAGCAACAACAGCCAGCGAATTTAAGCGAGTGGTACGTGTGCCACAGCTCAGGTGCGAGCGGTGGGCAGACACCACCCAGCGGCCACTCCACGCCAGACCCATCTGAGGAGCTTCCTTACAGGAACCCCCAAACCAGGGACGCGTTCTGATTTCGATCCCCTCATATATTTTCAAAAATGATTGGGTGCCTGTTAGGGCCCTCTGGTCCATATTTTTTTGTTTCCTTTTTTTGTTTTGGAATAGCCACCGAAACAGACATTCTGAGCCACTTAACTGAAACTGGGAACCCCTTCTGACGCGCTTTCTATTAAAAGACAAATATTTTTTATTATAAATATTTTTTAAGCTATCCAAAACGGCTCGGTGCTTCTTCTGCGAGTTGTGTAAATCACGTAGAAAAAAAAAATGTGGTACATTCTTGTATGCTGCAGGCATGATGGTGTGCAACTTTTTTTGCAAAAAAAAATATATAAATATAATTTCTGCCTTCAGTATGTTTTTTTTATTTATTTTCAATCGGACATGGTAATATTTTGTACGATCGAACCAAAGTGCATGTTTAAAAACCGGAGCAAGTTGTACATTTGTAAATTTTGTACACGTTAAATGTGTTTGGATGTTGGTTGGTTTTTGTAAGGAGCAGTTTACATCTTTTTTAAAATATTGTTTTGTTTATTTTTTCTATGGATTTGTGCAAAAAGGAAAAGATTTCATCTTTTTTTTCATAAGCTTATAGTATTTCGTACATGACGTCAATTGTAAATGTTTTATCAAAGTTAAAATAACAAACGGTGATTTTTGTATCATTGTCAGTGGGTTTTTGTTTCGTCTTAAATCAAGCACTAAATGCGTACCAAACTGCCTTGTATTTCGTGAGTATTTCGAATAAATCTTGTATGAAAGTAAACAACTTTGAGGACTTCAGATCTGTGGGAACAGTTTTTTTTCTTTAGAAGAGATATTAAAAAAGTATATTTTTCCAGTAAAAAATAGGTTTTGGACTATTTATTAATATATATATTGCTGTGAGTGTAAACCGACACGCGCACACAACGGTAGCAAATACTATCAACAGTTTTGATTTTTATTTACCAGTAAAAAAAAAATGGGGTGGGGGGGGGGGGGGGGGGGGGGGGGGGGGGGGGGGGGGGTTCTCGTGTTAAATCTTACTTACTCAGCTCAGCTTTGCTTTGACGAGGACTATGGGCTGCGAGTCTGATGAAAGGCTACAATATGCGGATCTAGACTTCAAAGAGCCATTTTGCACAAAGAAACCATTTTTTTCTTCTTTGCACAACGGTGAATCCTCATGGTGAATTAAGATTTCTATAGCAATAGCCAAGTCAAACTCAAATGATATGGGGCCAAGTCCCGAGGACTCAAAAGCCGGCTCCAAAGAATGTAATATTTGCTTCCCATGGGGTAGGAAACGGTAATCTACGTCCTTTATACTGCAGACCAGAGCAGCATAAAGAAAGGGGAAAAAAATATATTCTCTCGCTTAAGGCCTACTTTAGGAAAATCAAAGGAGGAGCCGCTAAAGCGCAGTTGTTCATCGCCATAATAGATTCCCTTTGCAACAAAAAAAAAAAAAAAAAAAGCTCAAAGAAGAACCTCATATTTTAGCGTTCAAACATGGCATGCATTAGACTGTCATGTTTGCAATTTTAATTGCAAGGGAAAACAATCATATTTAACAAACTATTTAAGATAGCGCCATTTTTCGTTTTAAGTTTAAAGCTGAAAGAGGGAAAACTTCTCAGACGAGTTTCAACGTGGCCTTGACTCAACCAGAAAAAAAAGGTGGAAGGGGGGGTTGGGAGGGGGGCAATACTGATACTTTTATATAGTTTGGTTAAGTTCATGACAGAAAGCAGTTCCAAAGAGGAAGAGGATGTCTCTCCCCTCTCTCTCTCCCTCTCTCTGGTTTAGACCCTGTAGTTTGTGCAAAAAGAAAGGGGGAAAAAAAGAGTTGGGTCTCAATTGAAGGATATTCTTTGAAGTAGGGAGTTAGTATCAGGGAGATTCTTTCTGGGTCGTCTGAACAGCGTTGATGACATGGAAAGTCTTTTGTCATCGATTTGCTGGGCTCCTCTCCCTCTCTGTTCAAAGTCTCAGCGTCAAAATAGAAAAGAATGAGCGCAAGCGTCGCAGAAACAAAGAGCGTCCGAAGTTAAAAATTTTGCTGGTTAGAAAATAAATAAGACGGTGAACTTGCAGGAAAAAGGAGTAAACTGAGACATGGTAAACTGTGGTATAATTTTTTTTTTTATTCCGGTTTAAGACCTTAAAAAAGAAAAAAAAAAAGAAAATAATATATATATATATATATATATATATATATATATATATATATATATATACTTACAAACTTCAACTCTGTTTGAACAGTTTAAGTTAAAAAAGCTGCAAAAAAAGCTTTAGTCAAGCAAAATGTACAGTACAACAAATTAAAAGGAGGAAATATTTTTTGCTTGTAGCCTAATATTTCATGACTTTTATGGATCTCAATATGAAAGATGCCTAATAAGTAGTTTTTTCATATATAAAACTAATTCCTTATGTTTGGAAGATCACCATAACCTCAGAAATGGCTAATAGATCAATATGGTACAGGAACGTATGTCCAGGTGTTGCAAAAGTTAAATCTAATTGCATTAATAACATAAAAAAACTGTTATATAATAAAATAAAACTAGTGCCTTAAATGCCTCCTGTATTAAATATGATGCAAAATAAAATATTTGTTTGAATTAGTCTTGCTTTAGTAAAACAAATATTTTTTTCTCAACAGAATTAAAATAAAAAAATAAAAATGTATTAAAGAGAAATTAATATTTACTTTTTGAATTATTTGAAAAGTTTTATTTTCAACTTTTGAGGTTTGAATCGTATGGATGATAATACCATAATCAAGTGATATTTTCAAAAAATACAGACCTAGAGATATAAATAACTAAAACGTGCTTTAGCAGAACAGTTTGTAATTATAATAAAGTTTTCTTAAGATTTCATCAGTTGCTAAGACATTTTTCAAAATATCAATGCTTAAATGTGTTGGTATTAGACCCTTTTAAAGTAAATCTGAGAAAATGTATACCCTGATTCCTTTAAGGACCTTTGATCTGACAACAACCTTAGGGTAACGAATCAAGAACAGGTGTGTGTGCATGACAGAGCCCCGTGACCAGTAACAGTCCCTGGCTGCAGGGCAGTTCCACCGGAAATACATATCCACATTAATTACGGCCGGTCGAAAACTCAAAAGAAATGGGAGGTGTACAATTTCCAAAGCGCTACAAAAGCAAAAGAAAATGAATCTATTTCATTTCTTGACGGAGCCTGTGGCCACCACGGCTGCGTCTTACACAGGGCCTCATTTGAGTGTGAAATATAATTTCTTTGTAAAATAATGGAGGCGGTAATCCGACTTCCGGAAACTGTCCGGCGTTTCTGAACAAAGCCCCTTTAATAGGGGGATTAGCAGTCTTGGAGTAAAAGGACCCCTCGCTCCACCTCCCCTATGTCCTCCACGCCTATAACCGACTCCAACTCTAAACCATTAGCACCTCTAGCACCAACCAGGTCATAATTATCAAGAATGAAGTGGACGGAACTGGCTTAATGGAAAAGAAAAGCCAAGGGGTGAAACAGGTGCAAAAGAGCAATAACAATCAGAAAGAATGAAGAAAAAAAAAGATGGATTAATTTGATCAATGAGGTGAATTTAAGCATTAACAGCGTTTTTATATTTATTTACTATTATTTTTATTTATTTATTTACAGGACTTTGATTGAGTACGCAGAGAAGAGGTCAAAAGCCGAACCGCTCATCCGGCGGAACTTAACCACAACCATAAAAGGCTGTCAGGATTGTTAAATATATTTTACTCTGATACCAACCAAGGTTAAGCTTCCAAAGGGAATATTGCATGATCACCCCGGGTATGATATATTGGCCAGCACGGGCTTCCGTCATAAAGATTTATGGTGTCATTTAAAGCCGAATTAACTGTATTTGGTGAATATATATATATATATATATATATATATATATATATATATATATATATATATATATATATATATATATATATATATATATATATATATATATATATATATATATATATATATATATATATATATATATGGTACACCCTTGCGGTCGCTTTTGTAAACAGCAGTCCAAATGCACATAAGTCACTACAGATAAATATATATAAAAAAAGGTCATAATTTAGGCTACTGCTTCTAGTCTGCATTCTTGTACAAATTTTTGGAACTCCTTCAGTGTGAATCGGCCCCCTTTGCCCTCCAGCAGCCAATGTATATCGGGCCCGAACACGGAATTCTAACAACCCTCCACATTATATGGCAGAATGTGCCACATACTTCACACCTGCACCCTGAATAGCGGCTCCCTTTCAGTCCGCGATACGCCTGTTGGCCCTGTTCTCAATGCAGCTGCGTGAGTGAATCGGGCGACCCGCTTATTTGCTCTCTTTTGATCTGAGATCTCTCATTTGATGCGGCAGTTCTGAGCTGAGGACTATCTAGTTAGCAGGAGCCGTCTGATGACTTGTATTATTCACCCCTCGAAGCAGATTTTTAACATGCGTGTGGAGGAAAACTTGTTGCCTCAAATTGGTTTTCGTTTTGTTCGAATATCGTTTGAGTCTATCAGAATGTCTTGGCAGGGGAAGGGGATTTATGCAGAATGTGATCCATTTTTTTTCCAAACATACGACTTTATTAACAAGTCAATCAGTCCTTGTATTTATCAAGTCCAGAAAAGAGTTGCAAAAAAAAAAAAAAAAAAAAAAAAAAAAAAGAAAGAAAGAAAGAAAAAGTAAAAGCTGTAAGGTTTTTTGTTTAAAGGCATACAATCAAAAAACGTTTCTAGTTTTCAATTGATAATCGATCTTAAAAAATTTTTTTGGAACCATCTGGGTTATGCAAATGTTTTTTTTTTCACCTTTGAAATACCGTGTTCCCTTATCTGTTATTATTTGGTGCTATGCAGCTAATGTAACGAACTGATTTTTTTCTGTTTTTGTTTTCTGTGTTTTTATTTTTTAACTTTTCAACCACATTGTCAGTTTTTTAAATACAAATTGCATTTGTTAAAATTGGTTTCCATGAAACATAAACTGAAATTAACTCAAACGATATTTCATTTCAACCAATCGGGTGATATTTGCTGTAATTTATTTATGAGTAGGCTAACTGGACTGAGCTGTATTTGACTGATTAAATTTCTCTTGACATGTTTTTGTACTTGAAAAGCAATTTCTCGTTTAGGGTATAGGCACATTTTTTTTATCCTTTGAATCAAATGGTAAGGATATGTATGACAAATTCCTCACAGATCCACATCCAGTCTAAAGAAGCTGTGAAAAAGTTTCACAAAAAAGCTTTACACTGGAAAAAAGGTCTAGAAATAAGTAAACATTTCCTAAATGAAGTGCACTCTTAATCTGATTAGGTAAATGAGATAGTTTGCCAATGGAATAAATATTTTTACTTTTAAAATAAGATAATTAGAAATAAGACAATGCAATTGTGTTTTCCTATTTTAAGTATAAATTGACTTTTTCCATTGGCAAAATGTCACTTTTACCTCCTCAATCCAAGAACAAATGCACTTATTTTAAGAAAAAATGACTTATATCGATTTTTTCCAGTGACACTTAAGTCTAAATAATATCAAACATGACACGACTTGACTTTTAAACTCTCACTTTTATAAAACCATCAAAGTTGTGAAGAGAGTTTACTTTTTCTATCTTAAACTTGATATATTTTAAAAACATTTGGTAACTTCCAGATGCAGCATCGTTATAAATGATATCTGAGATGTAATTCAGTTTATATATCGCATAAAAGAAAAGAAAAACAGGCTCC